AGAGAGAGAGAGAGAGAGAGAGAGGAGTGGGGAAGTCAACACCCTACGGAATGGGGTCAGAGGGCAGTGTCCTCCCTAAAATCTGATTTCTTACATTCTTTAGAATGCAATGGCAAATTCAACTCAGAAGCTAAGAAGGAAGACAACAAGTTCTGATAATAGCAAACTACAGGGAAGTACTGCACGTACAAATGAAGGGACTGACTACGAGTTTTGCCCTTCAGATGGAGGAAGAAGAAAAGATAATTCGATAATGTACACCTTCATTTTCTGTGGTCTCCTGATGGAGAGGTAATCAAGAATTTACGATTATTTTTTCTGACATATTCTTCAGACTGTTGTATAAGTTGAATGATGATAATTTTGTTTAAAATATTATATGCATTTGTATAGATAAAGAAACTTTAAAAGGATTGAAATTAAGAAAAACACTTGATATTTGAAACAGGCTAGAATTAGAATCAGTTTAGAATTAGAAGTAATTATATAACAAAAAAGTAAAATAAGATTATAACATGTCTTTAATTAACATACAAAAATATACAATTTCTCAGATTCATTATGTTATGCCTGTTATGACACTTTATAAGATATTCATGTAAACATTAAAATTCTAATGTTCCTAAATTTGTTGATGCCATATTATTATCAAGAGAATATTTTACATATATAGTTAATAGTTTCAAATGAAAATATATTCTCCATAAAGCATAACAATAATCTGCATTTTGTAAAATACAGTAATATAAATTTAAGAAAACAAAATGATTTTTTTTAATAAATTCCAAATTTCTTATTAAAGAAAGATTAAAATAATTTAGTTGAATTTCATCAGAATTAGTTCGAAATAGAATTTCAGAATTACTGTCTGGACATGAAGGAAATTGTGACCATCTTTCAGAGTTATTTCCAATTATTCATATAGGATTTTGATTAGTTTAGCTACTACACGTACGTTGAGACTATTTCCAAGTAGCCGATAACACTGCTTCACTGTTATCTTCTCAGGAAACCCTAGAAAAGAGAAATAACAATTTATAATACAATCGTTTGTAACCTTAACTTCCAGAAATGATAGGATGTCTTTTAGTAAGGGCACAGAGGTCATTTCATAAATAAATTGTCTACATAATGAGACATTGTCATATCACACTATATTATATTACATACTATGTTCAGTATACATACACGTAAACACATAATATCCACAGAACTTATAGAGACCCATGTATTAGTGCACTTCAGAAAAAGCAGGGGCTACCATTATTTCACAGTTGTTTCCTTTATTTCATAACAGTTTTATGCAGATATAATTCACATACCATAGAATTCATCCTTTTAAAGTGTACAGTTCAGTGGGTTTTAGTATAGTCACGAAGTTTTTCAAGCATCTCCACTATCTAATTCCAGAACATCTTCAACACTTCAAAGAGAAACCTGGCACCCATTAGCAGTTACTTCCCATTTCCCCTCCCCAACCCAGCCAATAATCTACTTTCTGTTTCTATAGATTTGTCTATTCTGAACATTTCCTATAAATGGAACCATATAATATGTTGCTTTTTGTGTCTGGCTTCTTTCACTTAGCATAACGTTTTCAAAGTTCATTCATGTTGGAGCATGTACCTTTCATTCATTCCTTTTTTTTGGCTGAATAATATTCTACTGTGTGAACACACCACATTTTATTTATCCATTCCTCCACTGATAGACATTTGGGTTGTTTCTATTTTTTGGCTATTATGAATAATGCAGTTATGAACATTCATGTATAAGTTTTTATGTAGACACATGTTTTCAATTATCTTGGATACATACCTAGGGGAAAAATTGCCTGTTCATACAATAACTCTATGTGTAATGTGGACATTTGGGTTGTTTCTATTTTTTGGCTATTATGAATAATGCAGTTATGAACATTCATGTAGAAGTTTTTATGTAGACACATGTTTTCAATTCTCTTGGATACATACCTAGGGGAAAAATTGCCTGTTCATACAATAACTCTATGTGTAATGTTTGAGAAACTGTCAGACTGTTTTCCAAAGCACCTGCACCATTTTATATTCCCATTGTTTTCCAAAGCACCTGCACCATTTTATATTCCCATTAGCAGTGTTGAGAGTTCCAATTTCTCCACATCTTCACCAACATTGTCATTGTTTATCTTTTTTATTTTAGCCATCCTAATGGGTATTAGGTGATATCACATTGTGGTTTGACCTACATTTCTCTAACAACTAATGACACTGAACATCTCTTGCATGTGATTATTGGCCATGTCTATCTTCTTTAGAGAAATGTTGATTCAAATCCTTTGCCTATTTTTAAACTGGTTTATTTTTTCTTTTTATTGTTGAGTTGTAAGAGTTCTTTATATATTCTGGATACAAGTCTCTCACAGTTGTTTTTTATATTCTGCTTCAATAATTGACTTTCTCATGTTGGACTTCTGTTCACTACATTCTTCTCAAAACAAAAAGGCCCACAGATACTACATTTGCTGGAACAGGTCCTGCAAATATCAGCATAAAAAACTGTCCATATATAAGAGTATACAATATAATGTTAGCTACAATGTCAGGATTTCACATTCAGTCCCTTTTGACACAGCAATTAAATTAAGGCAAGTAAATTAGATAATAAAATGAAGGAAATAATTAAAGAGCAGTAAGAATAGCAAACTTTGATATAATTCTAAGGACCAGAAGGTAGAGTTGGTTATGGTGAAGTTGCTTCATCAACACTTGGCATTATATTAACTGCAATAAAATAATAGCAATTACTATAATAAAACTATTTTGCAATTGAACATGACAATTAAGTTGCTATTCTAAAGACAGTATGCCTTAGGCAAGAACATTACTCATCTCAAAAATTATTTAGTTCAAAGTATCCAGAGGTACAAATGTATCTACAAACAAGCTTTTAAAATATCCCAGGAACAATCTTTTGTAATGTTAAGATTACACAGGAGGGGAAGAAACATTTGAAAACAAACAAATCAGATCTGTAAAAATTATGTGTGTGTGTGTTTGTGTGAATGTATATATCTGTGTATATTTTATATAGAGATATGAAAATCTAAACTAACTTATGGAAAAATATTACATAATTTTGTAAGTTAAAAGGCAACTTCTTAGATACATGAAAAATAACAAGCATAATCCTCAAAAACAAAGAAACATAGAATTAATGAGGTCAACATAGTAGCTTTCATGCAGTTAAGTGTAGGTTAGCGTCCCTCTTTTCCAAAGCCTGCGACCTCACGAATGCAAGCTACCAGTCACAAAGAGAACCAGGACAAAATTTACAGAAAGATCAATGCAAACCCATCACTGCCAGTGGACAACAGCTCAAACAGTGCCCGTTTGTGGGCTCAGAGTCAATAACATTGGAAACACATGTGAAGGGCAGTGTGTCTGGTGCTGTTCAGTGGTAACATCAGGGCAAGCTTGGCTGCACAAATATACCACATTTTAAAAGACTGACTCAGCAATGTAAAAGACTTTTAAAAAATGTATTACACATACATATTCAGAGAACTTTGAAAAATTCTATATTACCAACCTGAAATTTAAAAAATAATGAGAAAAAATATATATGAAGTAAAGCTTATAAAAGCAAATAAATGTCTATCATTTAAAAAATAAAAGCCAACACTTAAAGTTTATACTATGTCTCAAATATCGTGTTAGTATTTTATATATACTAACTCACTTAACTGTTACAACCACCCTATGAAGTAGGCGCTATAATTATACCCATTTTTCAGATGAGTAAACTAAGGCAGAGAGAGATTAAGGTGAAGCTAGGATTCAAAGTTAGTCTGCCTCTGGACTCTGTGCTCCTTACCAAGTTTCAGTATTGCCAAAGTGAATACTACTCCTTGAAAAAAAAAAAGTACTGGAATAAAACTTAGGAACTATTTATATTAGTCAATCTCTTTTCTCTGTTAGTAATGTAAAGTATGTCTAACTGCTTATCCAAAAAAAAAAAAAGAAAAAAGGAAAAAAAAATAGCAACTAGGAAAGCAGAGTGAGAATCACAACTCTTGAGTCCAATGCCCAGCTCTGTACTTGTGCTGCGATATTCTCACTCACTTTGTGACATAAACTAAGACAAGGAAAGTCTGTTTTTCTTAAACAACACTCCCTAGGATATTTGGGACTGAATGAGATCACCAAGAGAAAGGCAGGGAGTAGAAAACAAACCTGGTTGCTGTGACTACACTTGGAGAATCAATTACCAAGAGGGTAGTCAAGTTATATGAGCAGTTTGTTCCCAAGGTACAAAAGGATTGTGTTCCAAAACCTCATGTGTAAATCCATTATTTAGAATTTGAAATATGATTGATTTAACCCACTACTTATTTCAAGAATGATACTGTATTAATATTACAATAGTATTGGATTTAACAAAGTTTAGTTTTCCTGCATCCAAACTCCCAATCAGAGTGCTCAGAAGCATGTTTCCTCCTCTGTAGCCTTGGAAGCAAGTTGGGGAGCTGATCTCTCCCCTGCCCATTAGCCAGGTACTGGGAGCACCCCCACCCCAGGCCTAAGAAACTGATGGGCTCCTTGGAGCTGGGAGCAGTGGCCCCAGCAATGGGATCAGGCCAGGATGCTCTAAGAAGGCCAAGGCAGCATGTCCACTCTCTTCATAGCAACAACCCCTGGGTTTCCTGGACGGCCAAAGGAGTCAGGCCCTTGTCCTTCCCCCTCTGCGACTATATCTTCACTTTTTTTTTTGAGATTCCCTGTTGCAGACCCCCTAATCTTTTGTCAATTCTGACATGTGTGCTCCAGATCACCCTTTCTTTGTTTAGGAAAGTTCCCTCCTCGACAGCCTCTCTACCTTTTCTTTGCTCCACTGAAACCTTGTAGGGAAGAACAGAGGCACAACTGATAAGAACGTACCTTTGAGAAGGAGAATAAATACAAATGCATCTCCACCCCCCAAAATTCCTCAACTGCCTTTTAAGTTTGTCATAAAAAAAGACAATCATAGGCATTCTTGCACAAGCTCTTGTGTGGGATAACTAGCATGGGACCTCTGGAAGCAAGGAAATACACTGAAAAGGGGACGCTAATAATACCACCCATGGGGAGAGAGAAGGAATTGCTGAGTTGCCCCCTCTGCCCATGCAAACCACTCTTTTCCACTAATGGAGTGGGGAGAGTTGAGTCAGAAGGAAATAGACTTAGGCAGGTTGTGAGAGAAAGGGAAAAGAGGGCAGGAAAAATGCCCCAAATGGCACAATCAGGAAAGGAAGGTTTCTTGAACCCATCTTTCTGAGCAAGGGTTTATTCATAAAATACACATTTGAGATCCTAATGAACGTTGGGAGCTTTAATAAATGCAAGCTGAGGTCTGCACATGTCCCACATACCAAACTCTGGAGGAAATCCAAGGAGATTTGCTATTTCTTTTGGTGTAAAATATCGCAGTTTTAGCATTAACAACTTTGTTATCTTTTCTTCTTGTGACAAATTGGAAAGGGATTTGTAGATATTCTCAATCTGTAAAAAAATACAAGTTAACTGAAAAAGTAGCGTGCGACTAGATCTGTTAAGGTAAGATTGCCTACTGTGAGACAGTTTAAAAACGATGGGCATATAGTCTGCTGTGACACATGGAGCAAAATGCACAGGGCAAAAGGTCTCTGTGCAGTAAACTATATAATTGGCTCAATAATGGCAACATAAAATTTCAAGGTTAACATTGAAAAGATCAGGATACTTTTCAGTCTATCTGTCATTTTTGACCCTTTAAAATTAAATCATAAGCACGTAAACAATAAATGACAATATAACATAAAAGAAATATAGTGAAAGACACAAAGGAAACTTGGCCAACCAACTAAGTCAATTGTACAATGCTAAGAAGAAGACCATTAAAATGTTTATTGTTGATAATCCATTTCATCAAATTAAGATACTTTCTTAAAATGATAAAATATAATGATTTCTCAAAACTAGAAATTCATTTGCTTATGATAGAATTTTTACCATGGTAAATTTTATTCAGAGTTCAGAGTCTGAATCAATATAAAAGAAGATAATGTGATCTCACTTTAAAATTATTCAAAAATATATAAAACTTGCTATATATCCAGCTTGTATTCAATCATGACATCATGAGGAGTTTACAACTAAAGGATTAATAAGGTGCATTACTGAAACACATTTTTTTTCCTTAAAAGGAAGTTTGTGCTATAAAGGACAGCTCCAATATTAACATGTCTGTGCAAAATTTGAGGGAACATATACTACTGTAGGCTAAATTTCAATTTACTATTTATGGACTAAAAAGAAATGCAGAAGGTAAGAACAAGAAAAAGGAAAATAAAAGCATAAAACTTTCTTTGTACATAAACTCACATATGGCAACAGAAAAAAAAAAAGATTTCCTCTACAGTAAAGAAATACTATGTACTTCAAAAAGTTCATGGAAAAATAGAATTAAAAGATCTTTGCATGAACTTTTTGACAACCCCTCATATATTAATATTTGAACATGTAAAATTATTTCAATGTCCTCAAATTGAGTATTAAATATAATATTATTTAAAAGTTTTCAAATATTTTAGTTTTAAAACATACATAGTACCTGCACATCCTCTGCAGTTTGTAACACAGATCCTGTCCCTTCTATGTAGCTTCCATAACTGAAAAATTAACACAAATATTATGCAGCACCTAATGTATTTGTTAATGCTAAATTTCTTAAATATTTCTTGAATGAATCAATCAATCTGCATAGTTACATCCTTTGGAAATAGCTTGAATAGTATCACATAAATATGCTTTGTAACTGAAAAATGACTAGGCAAAAGACATAAGATAGTTCTACTTAAACTTCTCAGAAATTGAACATGGCACAGTTTTTTGAGTTGTATAAAACCACTGAATTACATATTATTAATTATTGTTTCCTTGTATTAATTGTCATGTCTTTAATGTTCATCACTAGAAAGTATGCACATTATATACAAATGCTAGTCAATATTGGCATCTTGACACATTTAGCCAAATGTTGGGGGCCGGCCCGGTGCCACACTGCTACAGTGCACCGCTTGGGAGTGCGGCGGCGCTCCCGCC